CTCGTACATACCGGTATACAGAAGTCAGGAGGTCAACCATACACATGAACATTAGGCGGGTCGATTCCAGTTTCAATAGAAATGAGATTGTATTAGTTGCATTATGGCTTGCTACCGTGAAGCACGAAGTGAAGGATGCGGAAGCGTAACAGCGTTAGACCAATCGGAGTTACGTCCAGCGACACACTCTTGTCTACATATCGCCAAAACCTCAACATTACGTAGAATCCGCAGTTGTATCCGTCTGTCTGGATCGGTCCATTGACGGACACAACTTTGAAGTCGTCGCTGAGCGTAGTAGCCACATCCCACGACATGCGGTCCAGTACGTCCTTGTACGTCTTCAGGTTCATTGAGTCGTAGTACAGGACATTGTTCTGCTTGCCATCCACGACCATTGCACACCAATGCATGTTCCCAAAATTTACAGGAATGAGCAGTACATCCGCTTCAGTGAGTAGTTCCTGAACCTTTGTCTTCATTTTTTCACTCATAGCTTTCTTCTTCTTTGACGCCGAGGCTGCCTTGACACCGACGGTGCGAACGCCGGTGCCCGTCCTGTACAATCTCGCGCAAAGAGCCAAAATCAGCGCATCATTAGCCCATTGGGGCGGCTTGAGACGGTACAGCATCGCGTAGTGGTAATCGTTGCCGTCAATTGGGATGGTATCTTGGGGATAGGGGCGAGCAATGGCCTCTGCCATGCTCTGAAGTGTCGATTGTTGTGCTGCTGGCATGGCGCTGGCTGCATCCTGTGTTAACCATTTGGTAAACGCCATTCCATCATCACACGAACGCTTCACGTTTGCTAAGTATGCCATGGCCTCAATCTGTTCGCGTGAAAATGTTCCGATACCCGCGATGTAGACACACTCGATCTCCGGGTTTTGTCCGTTGCTGTCCATGATTTGTCCAGGTATTGTAGATGTTTCTTCGTCTTTTTGTGTAGTTTGACTCTGGGTGAGTACATCGATGGCTGTTTCATTGGTGTTGCTCACAGGCAGCACCGCAACGCACTTGTCCAACAGTTTGGGTGGAAGTAGGTAGAACGCGTTTTCATTCAGCACAGGCGCACTCTCTCTAGTGTACTTGGGTTTCTTGCTACCCGCGTTGTTGTACTTGGTTTGGAGTGGCAGAACACGACGTAGAGTGTCTTGAAGTGGAGGCTTCTCAAGTTGAAGACTGCGCGCAAGTTGTATTAATGTCACCTCTCCAAGACATCTTCTATGGGCTTCTGACTCGTTAAACAACGCTCGTTTCTTCTTGTCGTCTGCTTCTCTCTCCTTTCTGTTCAACCGGGGCCTACCAGACTTCGCAGCTTTGGGGTTCAGACGGATGCGCAATCCACTATCAGTATTTTTCTCTCTTCGTTGTCATCAGGAGTGGTCTCAAGCGCAAGCTGCTCCATTTCGGGCTTGGTTCCGGTTCGATTTCGGCTGGTTGTCACTGGAGAGGTCACTTCATCTGTTTCTGTTTCTTCTCTCGTGACTGGAACCTTCGTTTTTTCAACCTTTACACGTTTGCGCTGCCTAATGTTCCTCCATTGTTGCACGACGAAGTCTAAATGCTTACGGTACTCGTCGTCATCAGAGATATCGGCTAGCTCACTGCATATAGCCTGGAACGCGCTGACTGCCTCCTTGTACTTAACATTAGCGTCAAGCACCTTGTGTTTCGCCTCCCCTGGTTTAAACTCATTAAGCACAAAAGGCCGCGGAGTCATCGGTTGTTCAGCAGGATG